AGATCCTTTGGACCAAGCCTATTTACTTTATACAGAAGTACACAGGCACCCCAAATTAATTTATCAGGCTGGATCTTCACATCTTATGGAACTGACAAATTCCCAGATTGTCCCTGAAAAAGGCACATATCCAAGAGCTAAAAGTGTTTTCTCTACTATGTCTGAGGATATGAGCTGAGCTGAGTCCTTAGCATGGCCCCTGCAGTCAGGCAGCTCTCATCTCTCGCGACGCTCAAGGACTCTCCAGGCTAGGACGGAGCAGAGCTCCACACCATGGAGGCCGGCCCTCAGCACCATGCCTGCCACAGAAGGTGGCCTCAGTCTCTCTATGGCTTCCATGTGTGAGAGGCTCGGGGTCAGCAGACACGGTCCAAAAGCATTAGACCTACCATAATCAGGAGGAAGGAAATTCTGACACCAACCCAGATGATCTTTCAGGACCTTACGCTGAGTGAAATACGCCAGTCACAAAGGACAAACACTGCACGATCCCATTTATGTGAGGCGCTGGAGGAGTCAAATTCAGAGCCAGAGAGTAGCATGGGGGTTTCCAGGGGCTGGGGAAGGGAGTTATAGTTCAATGGGTGCACAGTTCAGTTAGCAAGTCAAAAAGGGTCCTGGAGAGGGACGGTGGTGGTGGTTGTGCAACAATGTGAATGTACTTAATGCCGCTGAACTGCACACTTAAAAACGATTAAGATGGTGAACTTCCTGTGTACTTACCACAGTTAAAAACATTCTAACAAAGCATTTGATGAGCTTTTTGCCTTGGAGAGCAGGCCTGTGAGAATCCCAAAGCCTCATGGCCTGGCCTGCTCCACCCCAAGCTCCCGGAGCTCCCATTCTCCTTCTAGACCTGGAGCTCTTCCCAAGAGCCTTCTAGTGACATCTGGTGACATCCACACCTCAGCCTGACATCAGTCCCCAAAAACTCAGTGGCAGAATTAGGTAAAATCATGGGCAGCATTTTATAGGCAGAGAAACAAAGGTAGAGGACAGAGGCAGCAATCCAGGTTTCTAGATTATTGCTTCATCCACTCCTGAAAAAAACAGGGGCCCAGCCAAACCTCTCAGGCTCTTACTTGTCTGTGAGGCAGCCTGGACCCCATCTCACCTCAGCCTGCATTTGAAAAATTTCTTTTCCTTTTTCGGGAAATTTGCCTCTCTTCCACACCCACCAGTTACAGGGTACGTGGGTGTATCGAGAAAGAAATTTCCCAAAAAAGGAAAAGCGATTCCCCAAAGTAAGTCCCATCTCAGGGCTGCCTGGAGAGGCAATGGTCAGCCTCCGGAACTGGATGAGGTCCAGCAGCCCCAGCCCCTGCAGAAGTCCCCGAGCAGAAAGGGCTTCCTGAAGCCACTGTCCCCAGATCCAGGGACTGCTGCCTTCCTCCTCCTCCTGCACGGTGTGACCTCCTGATGTCCATCTTCCTCTCCAGGTCCCAACACAGTGAGGCTGAGGTAACTGAATTTTCCCCATCCCGGTTCTCTGGAGCTCTTGGGAGGTTTTCTCCCTTCTGCTGAGTAATCCCTAAGGGTCACTACATCCGTAATCTCCCTCCGAGGAACACCCCTTATCCTATCTTCTCTCTTTTCCTACCTACCCTCTGTCTTAAGGTTTTCAAGCTGCGAGCAGAAATTATGCAGCAAGGCATTTACAAAGTTGGTAGTTCAACTCCACAAACATTTACCGAACACCTGGCTAGATTTGTGCCGCCCAAACCCCATGCTAGACTAAACGGGGAGAAACACCAAGAATTATCAGGGGCCCATCCACAACAACAACAACAACAACAAGAAGTCAGTCTAGTTGGCAAGATAACACTCAAATGAAATCAAACGGTAACACTGTATAAATGTCAGCAACAATTCGAAACAGACGGTGACTGAGTGTGGAGGGCACAGACCAGCCATAAAATGCTACAGTTTATTATGTGAGCCTGGGAGGGTCAGAGGTGGCCAGGGGCTGCTCAGAGCTGCTGCTTTTGAAGACAAATGCTGAGGTAGGGCTTGCTTTGCAACATCGTGGTCTGAGGGCACCATGCAGGGAGTGCCACCTATGTCTTCCCTGGTATACACACACACACACACACACACACACACACACACAAGCAGTTCTGCAGGCCCTGTGGTTTGCCTGGTGTGCAGGAGCACCCCACAGACCTCTCCAGATCAGAAACAGGCCCACCCCATTCCACGACTGGCACTGCACCATCAGCAAGCTGACTCTGCGCCATCATCCCCCTCACTCCCAGGAAATCTGACAGGTGAGCCCTGCGCTGTTTAAGAGCAGAGCTAATAGCAAATCACATTTACATTTTCATTTTTAAAAATAAATAAGAATTTAAATAAACCCTTGTCAAAATTGCTCAGTTTCTTGGCCTTGACACTGTGGACATTTTGGGCTGGAGCCTTCTTTGTTCTGGGGGCTGTTCAGTGGAGGAGATTCAGCAGCATCCCTGGCCTCCACCCACTAGATGCCAGCAGCAGCCCTGCCCCAGTTGTGACAATCAAGGATGACTCCAGACATGGCCAGTGGCCCTGGGAGGCACAATGCTGAGGACCACTGGTCTATTTCCAGGCACTCACAAAGGAAGCTTCCAGCTTGGCTTGAGTTCACCCACACATGAACCTGCCTGAAATGGAGTTTTCCTGCTCCAGGTCTCAGGATCCTGCCAGCCTGTTTTGGGTGGGACTCTCAGCTCAGGGTGGCTGACCATTAAACTGGAGCTCCTGGGCCACGGGCTGTCTGCTCACCTTGGGGAGTGGCTCTGAGGAACAAACCCTGATGCAGAGCACTGGGTGCTGGAGAAATCCTTCCAGCCTCTGCCTCCTCCCACCTGGCTTTTACCCAACTGCCTCCTTGCAACCTTCTCCTGTGACCTTCCAGATACAACAGGGAAACCCCTCCACGGCCTCGACTAGGCAGAGCAGTATTTACTAATGGGCTCACTGGGTCAGTCTCTCCAGCTCCCAGGTTATCTGCCAGAAAGCAGCACATGGCCCAAAACTCCCAGCTCTGGGCCTGCCCCCATGCCCTCGCTCAGTCCAAGTTTTCCCTGGGGCTTCTTTCTTTCTCCATATCCCTGGCACAGTCCCACCTCTGCCTGAGCACTCCATGAAATAATACGCAACTCATATCCAGGTTGCTGGGAAACCAGTGTCGGTGCTCCTGGCTAGGCGGCCTCAATTATCCAGAAGCCACGCCTGGGAGGCAGCATGTGCTCTGCACTTGTGCCAGCACCAAGGCGTCCCCAGGAGCTACTCTCTTTGTGCTTGTGCAACTGAGCCAGAGGGAATAACGGATTTTGCTTGACTTTAGTTAGACCTAAAGAAAGATTTCCTGACTGAAATGATCAGTCCCCAAGGAAACAGTGCAGGGAGCTCTGTTTTTTTGGGATGGTTCATGACCCAGCCCAGCCTGAATGTAATCCAGTGACCTCTTGAGGCTCCTCTGATACTGTTGAGTCAACTGCAGGACTTAGCCAGTCAGCCAGCCACAGGGAGGCAAGGTAAACCTCACAGCTGCAGGAGCCCAGCTGACTCCAGGGCTACTCCCTGTGTAAGGGCTAAGCCAGGAGAACAAGAAGTGTGAAGTCTATCCTCCAGGTCTGCTTTCTTGCCTCAAAGGAATGGAGTGTCCAAATGCATTGTCTCCCTGCTCCTACTTCCAGCCAAGTCCACCATCGGTGCTCACCTCTAATCCACTACCCTGGAGCACAGATGTTCCCACAGCAAAAACCCCCTATGCTCTAATCATGATGTACAAATATGCTCACCAGAAAGAATGAAAAGGAAGACAACTCTTTTTAAGAAGGAACCAGCGAGGTGACAGTTGATACAGGATTACAGTATCATCCTCTTAATTCACCCCAGAAACAAAAGTAGAAAAAGTATCACATCACAAAGGTTAGGACTGGAGTACAAACACACCCACTTCTGGTCTTTGCACATGTGAGCTGTAACGACTACCCAAAAATCCCAGGCGCCCCCCCCACCGCCTCCCGCAGTCTGGAAGGTCCCTAGAGGGCACAGTTATCTCCACTCATACTTCCAGAGTCTGTCTCGCCCCTGCAGCAAAGAAACGAACTCTGGGTAGGATAGGCAGGGGCCGCCTATTTCATAGTGAGACCAGACTTCCCAGGACAGTCCCAATTTTACAATGCTGCACATATGTGCATACAAACATTCACCCACCAAGTGGAACTGGAAAAGGCAATCAAATCTCCCATCTTCAACCCTTTACAAAGTTTGGAATGCAGTCCTGCTTTAGATTAATTAGGAGAGACTAATCTCCTTTACAGAAAAAGTCAGGAGATAAAATGGGTAGAAAAAGAAAAGCCAGAAATTCCACCTAGTTGATTTTCAGGTTTGGCCTCTGGGGCAACAGCAGCAAACACTCATCCAGCCCAGTTAGTAGGTGGAAAACCAGGGAGGTGGGGAGCAGGAAGGAGCCTGTCTGCCTGGTTTAGTGACCAGAAGAACGCTGACCCTGTGACCAGGAGGCCTCTGAAGTCAGCTCAGAAAACTATGCCAAGCTCAAATGAGACAAGCAAAACCAATTACAGTCTCAGAACTGACAGGCAGCCCCAGGACTAGGCACGTGAGGACATGTGCCAGCCCCAGGGCCAGCCCCCGCCCCACACCCACAGGTCCACAGCCTGCAAACGTCCTCACTGTGACCCAGGACTTTGCCCCCGCTTTTCCCTAACCAGGAGTGCTCCAGCCAAGTCCACACTATTAGCCTTGAACAGAAATGACTTCCTCCCTTACTTCTTCCTCTCATTCAAGACCACAGAAGATGATGCTTCAAACCAAAGGTCTGGGTTTTTAAAGCTGTCTCCAGCAGGTGCCACAAATTCTTCAAAACATTCCACACTCCCAAACAGACACAAGTGAGAGCACACAGCTGCTGTGCTCTCACACAACAACGCAAGGGCACTGTAATGGAGGGACTTGGTGAAGGCTGGGGACAGGGAGTAGGCAAAGATAACACTTACCATCTCATCCAGGGCGTAGCGCAAGAGGCCGTGCTCGTAAAGGATGAAGAACCGTCGCTGCCATTTCTGCAACGGAGCACAAGGAGGGTAGTTAGGAGGATCTGGGTCCTGGCCCCAGAGCTTGGCTTCTGGAGTTCCCGTGTCTGACAAGCCCGTATCTAAGGAAGGTGGCTCCACAGATTCCACTTCTGGGGCAGGTGGCAGGAAAAGAGGGACCCGAGGTATAAGAATGTTGATTCATCAGCCAGGGCTGGGCTGGGAGAAAGGCCCAAATCACATGAGTGATTGAGGCTTAACAAGAAGCTTTTTTTTTTTTTTAAAAACATTTGGAAGCTCCTCAGGAGCAGAAACAATGTGTGGTTACCTTTTTGTACTCCTGATGGTGCCCAGCACAGAATGCATCACATGATATGTGTCAATATTTATTTGATGAATGATCTGACATGACATGGAATAATCCAGGAATGCCAAGGCACGGATTCACCACTTCTGAAGAAAATCTGGGAAACTGCTACAAAAAGGGTTGTTCTGATGATCCACTGGCAAAGAGGAGGCATGAAAACAGCCAGGCTCCAGAATTCACTGAGGTGAAATGAGCTAATGAAAATCAAAACAGAGGAGCAGCAAGACCAGTGGAAATAACTCCAATATCCAAGGAGTGATCAAATGGCACAGAGCGTCCCCCGCTCTACTCTCCCTCCAAAAGCCAGACCACTGGGAAATGCCCACAGTGGTCAGATGCCACCAGGAGCTGAAATGAAAAGGACTATGAGGTATATGTCTTCCTCTGTGTGGGGAGAAGGGCTTTGTCCATAATGCGAGTCTGCTGGCCCAGGTCATGAATGACAGGCACAGCTCCCAGGCCCAAATCATCACAAGGGTCCATGACCTATTTTCAACATTTCAACAAGCCCAACCCAGCCTGGGCAGCATGCTGAAAGCCTGTCTCTACAAAAAACACAAAAATTAGCTAGGCATGGTGATGCATGCCTGTAATCCCAGCTACTCAGGAGGCTGAGGTAAGAGGATCACACAAACCTGAGAGGTCGAGACTGCACTGAATCAAGATCACGCCACTGCACTCCAGCCTGGGCGACAGAGCAAGACTCTGTCTCCAAAAAAGGAAAGGGAAAGGGAAAGGGAAGGAAAGGAGCGGTAGCACTGTAAGAAAGTTTGTGAGGAAGGAGAGTTTTGTAACAGGAGGGGAGGGGAGGGCCCAACAATACTCAAAGTTTAACTGGCAGTAAGGCCACAAGAACTGACTATAAAAGCACATCTCTCTGCTTTGGGTCAGGGTTCTCATTTATAATAATGACTCCTGTCAGAGGCTGGAAATGGCAATTGTGTACAACTTCAATATAAAATAGGAAAGGGAACTACTCCCTGGAAACTGCAGTCCAGCTGGACCAGTTATTCCTGAGTCCTCCTGTGTGGGTGGCATGAACAGGGACTCAAAGGGCCTTGCAAAGAGGCCCTGTAGAGGGCTAGTCTATGCTGGGTGTGTAGAGGAGGCCACCTGAACATGTTTCCTAGGAACATTTCCAAGGGCCTTATGTGCTGCCTTTGAAATCAAAACCCATTATAGAAGAAATCCCAAAGACCAGAGACACAATGCAAGGCCTGTGGGACCAGAATACACAGCCCAAGGTCCCTACTCCAAAGTGTAATATTCAGGGTGGGGAAGGGGTGGGCAGTAGAAACTAAGAAGAGGAAAAGGACCTCCCAGGGACGGAGGGGGCTGAGTAGAAGCAATTTATAGGGTGCGAGCGGCAGCACTTTAGTTTGTGAAGAAGGAGAGTTTTGTAACTGGAGTCAAATACAGAGGGGCTTCCTGGCAGAGAAACAAACCACAGGTCAGGCCAATGGTGGTACCAGCTCTAGCGGGGCCCCGCCCTGTGCAAGAGGTAAGCCAAGGCCTCTGGGCCCCCAACCCTTCACTAGTGCTAGTGTGCTGAACCCCTGGCTCACGAGGAAGAGAGGTACTATAGGGGAAGGCCTTGGCATGGAAGGAACTGGGAGTTGCTCGGCATAACGCAAACCTTTAACCACTCTTTTGCCTCTTCCATTTGACTGTTCCTACAGTCAAGCTGACCCATAAAACAGGCAACACCCACAAGAGAGCTCCTCATTCTGAAGGGAGCACTACACGTAACTACGTATAACTGAGACCTTTTCTGTACAACATACAAGTGCGCCAAATGGGGAAGCCCTGCTGATCCTGACATCCCAGGATCCACTGTTCAACTCTCCATCTCCCTCTTCCACTCTCCAGTTCACCCTTAGATGAGTCCCTTCTCTGGTTCGTCCCACCCCGAGAGTTGGCTCTGATGCGCTTACCCGAGACCGGTGCACCGGGTTGTCAAAGTCAGTCCCATCTGGAGCCAGGAGCAGCCAACCGCCATAAATGGGCTTTGCCTAGAGGAGAAAAAAGAGGGCAGGTCATCAGCGGCCTTCAACCCAGAAGAGAGAACAGGTCAAGTTAACAGCAAGCACTTGCTGGAAACAGACGTTGCCTCTGCTCTGCAGAGGTCATAACGCTATTCCCACTGCAGTGCATCTGTGGCTGCTTGAGAGTCAGAGGCTGGTGGGGATTCTGCAGCATCCAGGGTGGAGAGCACACAGGCCCTGGCAGGAGTGTGAGAAACTGGAGAGTACAGGATCCCCTAAGACATGCTGTCTCCTGCAAGCTACTGATCAAGCCACCAAGATCAGGAAAAAATGACATTTTATTCAACAAATATGTAAGCGTCAATGTGTGCCAGGAGCCAGGAAATAGGACATGAACAACACAGTCAAAAAGCCTCATGCTGAAGACACAAAACAGGGCCTGAGAAGAGACTGCTTTTGTGATCAAAGCCAGCTCTGGCCAAAGAATGATCAACTGACTGGCTGTGTGGCTGCGTGCAGAAACCCTTTCAGTTCAAACTCTCCGATTTGAAAAGTGAGAGTGATGACAATTCTACCTAAACCTCATGACTCTGATGTGAGGACTGACGAGATAATGCAATCAGTAAAACCCAGCACAGGGATGTAAAACTGTGCTGCCACCTTGGAAAAGTCTGGCAGTTCCTCGGAAAGTTGAAGGCAGAGTTACCAGGGCCAGCAATTTCACCCCTCTGTATACACACCCAAGAAAATGGAAAACAGGGGCTCAAAAACTTGCACATGAATGTTCATAGCAGTATTATTCACACTTGCCAAAAGGTGGTTAACAGCCCAAATATCCACGGACAGACGAATGGATGAACAAAGTTTGATGGATCCACATAAGGGAACATTATTCAGCCAGAAAAAGGGATGAAGCACTAACATATAACACCGAGGAACCCCGAAAACATGATGCTAAGTCAAAGAAGCCAGACACAAAAGCCCACATATTACAGAATTCCACTTACACAAATGGTCTAGAATAGGCAAATCCACAGCACAGAAAGCAGATTAGCGGTTGCTAGGGACTGGAGGAAAGGAAATAAGGAGAGACAGCCAGCAGGTATGGGGTTTCTTTCGTGGGTGACTAAAATGTTCTAGAATTAGACAGTGGAGATGGTTGCACAACATTGTAAATATGCTAAAACTCACCAAACTGTATACTTTAAGAGAGTGAATCCTAAGATAGGTGAATTATATCTCAATTTAAAAAGCTGCATGAGCACAAAGAACACTGAGCAGTGTCTGGCCTGTGAGGTCTCAACAAATGTGATGCATTGCTTTATTTTACCATCCACAGAGTCCCCGCTCCCCAAACCACAGGTAGGAGCTCAACACGGGGATCTAGACAGACACTCTGGCTCCATCTCCTTCCTCAGCCACACCCAGCTGGCGAGAACGCACTGGAAAAGGTACAACCAGGCCCATTTATCCAGTCCCTTTCGGAGGGATGTAACACAAATTAAAACACAAGTTCTCTGACTGCTGCTTACACACGCAGGACCCCTCATGGGCCCTGCTGATGTGCTTTTTATTCAGTGCTCTCCAAACTAGGAGGCCCCACCACACTACCTCATTTGGTAGCTGCAGACTGTGAGTCAGAGAGGGCAGGCCACATGCCAGAGGCCACACAGCCTCCAGGCTGAACCAAGAACCCCTGTTTTCTTGGCTTCTTCTGCAGGGTCCTCAGGGTCCCCAGGAGCACTGGCTTTCCTCATGAATGGTGCAAGTGGAGCTGTGTGCCTGGGGTCGGGGGAAAGCTGCAAGGACAGGAGAGGCTTGCTTTGACACAACAGGGGATGGGTGTTGGCTGCAGACATAGTGCAGGAGGGCTAAAGGGTGTGTGGTGGAGATCCCACCTGGGAAGGCAGAAGCAAAGGCAAGGAGAGATCTGTGCTCTCTACAAACTCCAGCTGTGCCCAGCAAGCCTCCAGGTGGGCACACACGCTTGGCGTCTCCACACCCCATCCAGAAGCACACATCCTAAGCAGACCCCACCCAGAGGCCTTGCACGGGAAAGCCAGAGTTGGACAACTCCCTGTGTGTATCCGGACTCTGTGACTCCCAGCTGGGCCTCTTGCTGGCCACAAGTGCCCACCTGTGAGGTCAGAGGCCAGCCTGCCTCTGGAGGCAGGGTTTGGGGTGTTGTCACATAATCAGCTACATTTACCCGACCTTTCTCTAGGAGGAACTGTGGGGAGCCGAGGGATCAGCATCTGTTCTCTCAGAACCCAAGCCCTGGTCTCAACCCAGACATCCTCAGCAAACCTCTGCTCAGGACCCCCGTGTGCATGGCCCTGGGTGCTGCACACCAGGGAGCCTGCAGCAGCCACCTTGCTGGGCTGTGACTTCCTGATACGGATCACCACAGAGGGGACTGATCCAGGTGGGCAGGTGGGGCGGACACAGAGCAGAGGGCGAGGTGCAGGGTCTCCGGGTGGAGGAGCAGGCTGAGACACAGGTGACACCTCATCCAGCATTCATCAAAGCAATTCCAGAGTGATGGAGAGCAGAGGAGTGGCTGCCTGGGGCTGGGGGGGTGGAAGGATGGGGGTGACAGCCAAGGGGTGCAGGGTTTCTTTTGGGGATGATGAAATGTTCTAAAAGTGACTGTGATGATGGCTGCACATTTGTGGGAATATCCTAAAAATCATACAACTGTATCATTTAAATGGGTTAAATGCATGATGTGTGAATTTCATCTTAACAAAACTGTTTAAAAAAGCCCTGAAGAAGGTAAGGACTCCATAGATACACGGGGAGATCTGGGGTGGAGAGGACTCTCCGGGCAGGGGCGCAGCTCACACACAGGTGCAGAGGCAGGAATGACGGAGCCATGGGGTCACAAGGAGCCATCTGTAATTACTGAGAACTCACTCCTCAAGCCCAGGGAGCCAGGGACAGGACCTGGTCAGCTATACCACCGCCACTCTTCCCTCTCACAGCCAGCCACATGGGCTGCGCAGCCTCTCCCAGCCTCCTCAGCTTCCCAAAACCTGGCCTTCTCTACCATCCCTCAGGGCTTCCTTGAAATGTCCTTTCCTCAAGGGGACAGTCCTGACCCTCCCCCTCAGTCTCTAATGACTCACTTCTGCCATTACCATCATTGCATATCACAGAACTAATTTTTACCTACCATTTCATTATGTATGTAATTACATTGCTATGACATGACTTGCTCCCCACCCCTACCCCAGAACCTTCACTCCAGGAAGGCAGGAATGGGGTCTGCCTGGCCCTGGCTGTGTCCTTGATCCTGAGGTAGGTGTGCAGAGGGAGTGGAGGTGAGTGCCCGCTGGCCTAAGCCAGCAGTGGGTGCGTGGTGCCCTCTCTGAGCTTCCTTCTCCTTACATAACCTAGGTCCTGACTCAGACAACCTGTTCTCATCCCCCAGGCGTGGGAAAGGCCTCCCAGGAAGAGCTGCTGCTCCTCTATGTCTCAGACTATCTAAAAATGCTGCATCCTCCCCCACACAGCAGACCACAGTGTCTGCAAGTGCAGAAGTGCCCACGGGCAGAGGCTCCCACGCACGCCCACCTGCTCCTGGGGCAGCGCCTCTAAAAGGCCCTAAGGTATTCTCTTCCAGAGAGCCTGTAATAATCTGAAACTGGGACACTAAAACAAAACAAACAGCCCAAAAGGCAGCGGGCAGGAGGGAGTGTGCTCTGGAAACACTGAGTGGGTAGGCTTAGCTTTGCTGCTTTCTGGTTGAGCTGGTGGGCCCTTTGGAGGGAGGCAGGAGAAGCAGGTATCTGTTGTTGACATGGGGGACCTGAGCTGGGCTGTAAGGACCCAAAGGATGGGGTCCGAGTCCTGTTTCAAGCAGCTCTGCACACAGGGCCCCTTTCTATGCAGGTCTTCCCAGAGGATGCATGTGGCTCTGGATCCCATATAAAAGTGACCACATGAGAGACTCCCCCGAGCTACCTCCTCTCCAATTAAACTCGGCCTTCACTCATGACCCACACAAGTTGGAGGCTCCACTTCTGGTTGGCCTCTAGGAAGAGACTGCTGGTGGTCTGGGTGTGCCTTCAACCTGAAGCTCTTTCAAAAACAGTGCCTTGAAACTTCTGTTTCCTGGACGATGGGGCAGATGTAGATTTCCCTATTCCTCCTGCTAAGAACAACCAAAAACCTGGGGCCATCACGTACAAGACAAACACAAGAAGACTCTGAAAGGTGGAGAAAAAAAGGCAGGTGGGCCAAGGACCCAGGACCCAAGGAGGGACACTGTGGCGACTCTCCCAGACTTTCTTTTTGTCTCACTATCCCGGAGTAGGTAGAGGAGAACTGGCAACCTGAAAATGCCAATGGGCACACAACCAAAAGAACCAACAAAAAGCTACTTTCCATAGCTGAAGAAACCAGAAAGGAGCAGCCCAGCAAGACACGAAACTCTTAGACAAGAATTGCCCTACTCTGGCCAAAAGCTACAGGAAAGCCAGCACGCCACCCCCAAGTGAGCAAAGGTTGGACTTCCACCCTTACGAGGTGCCCCACATGCCGGCCAGGGTGGCGCGAGAAGACACAAGGGCCTTACATCCCACCAACAGCAATGAGGACCCTTCCTGCTCCGTGCTAGTGTGTGTCAGAGGGTGCCCAGTGGAGGGTCAGGGTTTTTTACCACTGCCCAGTGGGAAGGCAACCCATGACGAGGAGCCTCCCAGTTCAGGCATCAGTGGAGGCCGAGGGGTGGACTTCTGTCTCCATCTGAGTAACTAGGTGGTCATGGTGACTCCCTTCCCCCACGGAAGCACTGTCAGAAAAACCCACTGAAATAGAAAGTTCAAATGAGACCCAGAGTCACCCAACAGAATACAAAAACACTTCATTTCCACCAAAAATTATCATCATACCAAGAACCAGGAAGGTCACAAACTGAATTAACAAAGACAACCAAGAAATGCCAACACCAAGATGACAGCCATGCTAGAATTATCCCACATTTAAAGATTTTAAAGCACCCATGATAAAATGCTTCA